ATCTTAATTCTTACCTTCTTAATAATATCATAAATGTGAAGGCCTTAAAATTAATTTGTTTATTTAACTTTTGTCGCATTTCCTTTCGATTGTCGCTTTAATGAATAAACAATCGAAAGGAAATTTGGTATACACGTATTATTTGGGATGAACAAGGATTTTATTTGGGACGGAGAAGGTTTATCACGATTAATACCAGTATATCTCGGTTGTGCGAAGTTGTGGGTAAAAACTATAGTTACATTTTCGTACAGGGGAAAACGGGATTATTAGAATCTGGTCTAAAAGCTTCATTGTTAGCAACTGCCCTATTGGCTCGATCTCCACGCGTTTCCTCCTAGAATATATGATGATTAATTCTTTGCAGTTCGTCATCATGGACTTATTGACCTGCTTTCATAGTTACCTATTATCTTTCATTGGTGCCCCGCTAATGTGTAACGTAACCGATAGCGCAGGTTAATTCAATTCTGACCCAGTAAAAAAAAACTAGAGAGTTCCCAATGGTAACCGAGATTTTTATGATCATGTATGATTTTTTGAAGGATGAGAATGAAAATACATTTACGATCATGTCTGCGTTATTATTTTTTGCTAGAGAGACTACAGAAATAACTGATAGGTGAGGATGACTTCAGTTCAGTCAGCTCATTATGATGAATTCACCGGGAAGTAACCACGGTTATTTCGAGAGAATTTTTTAATACCACTGATGAGGCAAACAAGTATATGGCCCACCTGACGGTAAGCAGTTACGGTAGCCTGTAAATGCCTGCAATACCAAAGGCATTATGCGCCAGTTTTCGACCCTGAAGAAATATTTTTACCCCTTTTCTGAAGAACCCTATGCTGTAGTTTCTTGAAAAAACCTCGACAGGGAGCTTATTCCATAACCCGAGCATGAAGAATCACGTGGAGATTGATGATGAGAGAATAGCATGATAATAAAATTAATGATAATATGAAATATCAAGCTTGTTTGTCTAATTATATCAATGAATCCATGTTGATGTTTGTGACTGTAATTCATTAACGCTACATACACTCTGCATAGGTATACAACTAGATACAATAAAACGTATAAAAATATGTCATGCACGCATCACGTGCCATGTTTGGACATAATGCATTTCCGTTGCTGTATATGACTTCAAAGACATGTTTGATTAAGTAGCATGTAAAGTATTAATTTAATACTCTTATACACAGTTTAAAGAAAATTAGATGTTACGGTCAATGCAATGGGTATATAAACAAACTGAAACTTAAATGGATTAATTAATACATACATTGAAATTTATTTTTAAAAGGCAAAATACGCCAACAGTTCTGGAACCTTTCATTAGCAGCGCGTGATTAGAGTATTTAAAATACATGACAATAATGATAATGTTTTTGTTCCAACAGTACAGTATAATAAACAAAGATTAAAAAATCTTCACTACCTCTAATTACTTACCTAATTGTGTTTCTTCAATGCAATAAATATATTTGATACTTTGTCAGTGTTTTGCTTATTTAGTCTCTTAAGCAGTTGGTTAAGAGACTAAATAAGTAAGAAGAGAAAGAAAAGCAATCACTGGCTGGAGGCAGGCGGGTGCTGCGTGTGGTGCGAGAAAAAGGCACCGCGCCACCTCGACCGACACGCGAACGATCTCAGCTACTAGGAACGCATAAATGGTTGTAGTTATCGGCGTGCCATTCCATTATTTCTATCTCGCTCATTTTATCGGCGACCCTCATTCGACTGAATGAGGCAAATGGCCTTCGTCAGCTCCAACTACATTCCAAATAATATCGTGTCGTATAGAACTAAGGTTCTTTTTGCAAACATAACTTTTGAACTGATGAGTTTTAATGATCCCTATCGTTGGAACCTCCATCGTTATAAATACGAAAATGGAAGCATTTCCTCAAGTATGTGAAGTATTTCTGATGTATTTCGTAATTTTATGTTCTCCCGATAATCTCAATGCTTAAGGATCATTTTGGCGTGGTTGACATTCCTTTTTTGTACGAACAAGTTGGTTGAAAAGACTTGGTGGGAAACCAATTTATCGGCGTTTACTCGTGACTTGACGATAAAAAATAAAGTAATGAAAATTATTGTAAGAGATTTTGTTACAACGGTATTTTGATAGTTTTTTTAGACGGAAATTCTTTGCTTTTATCAAAATACTTGTGGTATCTCAATTATATATAAACTATTATCATGTGCACTAAAGTAGGTATTAATGATTGTATAAACACAAATGGTTGATATCTTTAGTTAACATTACCATGTAATATTATTATTTATAGTATCTTTAATGAATCATGAACGATGGGAGATGTGCCTTTTTTGAAGATCTGATGGTATTTAGCTCCCGAACATACACACAGGCTCTTTACCCACACGTAAAGAGTTGACTTAAAGATATTTAAACTAGATTTTATACTTTGAGCTTGTTGCCAAGTATAAAGAGAAGATCCAAGCTAATCAGTAATATCAATCAGTAAGATAATCGCATATAATGTCATTTTCAAAGTTCATAACATGAGTATTTTCCTGTTCTTAGTAAGAGTATTTGCCTGATGTAATTGTATTATTCTTTCATTTTTCTAGATTATTTACATGTAATCTACATTGAATTAAATACTAAAACGGTTAAAAATATCAATCTTCGTCCACAGTATTCACTTGATAGAACTGGTTCCGTTTTCCGGGATTCTTCCTTTCTTATCTCTCCTTTTGTGTCATCAACTTTGAATTAAAAATTGAATTTCATAATTCAACAGTTATATAAATGAGGTGTTACCGGAATGCACTTCGTACGAAAATTAGACCTAGATAATGCGTAAAATAAGTGTGTGTATATTATTCTATTTTAGATTATAGTCATCAGAGAATTGTTCAATGAAATTCTATTGTGTTGAACGGCAATGTATGTATATATATTTATGTAGGTATTAAAATATACATATCTTCTATACTTATAAGGTGTAAACGATACGTGTTAATTACATTAATGTCTATGAAATAATACCATATATATTCCTAATAGGAAATACCTAGGTATTTTCTATTTATTAGCTTCTGCATACATTTTGTAGTTCGCTCAGGGATTCGTTTTGGCCCACTGGCTCCTTTCTCTTGGTTACTTCTGTGTCTCATTTCGATACCTAAGATAATTTGTTTAAGAAGACTTTTACTCTTTTTTTAGATACTGAACAAACTGTAAATTAATTTTTTTTTCGTAACAACCATTTAATATATAGAATGAAAATGAGAGACTTTAACCGCTAGCAATTGTTAGCAAAGTAACCATTGCTAGCAATATAGCCTATAAGGATGAGGTTTAATCTTGCGGAGGTCTTCATGGTTTCTTTTGGAAACAATAGTGGCTAATTAAGATATATTCTTTGTTTTCAACTATCATTCTCAACTGTTATCTCACTTGTGCAGGCTAGAAAAAACACTAACAAAAATTACTTTGGATTTAGAGAGAAATTGTATTTATCTACAGAGGAAACAATTTGGTTATGATTTGCATAACTTTTAAAATTTCGCATATTGGCTCCATTATAATCTACATAATACAGTTTCTTTAGTCCAAATCGATACAATGGTTTCGACGGTAATTTATTCCATATTTACTGAGCAATTTTAGTACATTGGTAGAGTACCACGCAAAATTTCAATTTTAGTGTTTGTTTATTTATATATGATATCATCGCAAGGGGCCGGAAGAAGCCGAATTTGGTGTTTTTTTCTATGCGATTGTAAAAGTAGATCGAGATGTTAAATTGTAAAATGTTGACGTTAAATTAACACATTATGACAACCACCCTAAATAGCAAAGTCTCTGCAAAATAGTATAAAATAACTTATACCAAATATTCTTATAAAGTGGATGGATACATTAGATCATATCGTTAGTTGGAGATAATTATAATAAATGTTATTATGATGATGAGAAAGAATAGTGGCAAACAGAGAAATATGGCGCGTGCCACGACACAGCGGGCATTTGTACTAGGAGAGCATAATGAAACGGCGGTGGAAAAGCCGCGCAATGCGATGCGCAACATGTGTAAATGTTATCAGACACGAAAAGTCTTAATACTCTTAATAAAATTTTTAACTTTATTCGTATACCGCTAAGGTTTAATTTTTATTACTCGAATATGTGATTGCCATTTGGAGAATGTCTCTGGGAACTGCTGCTCTTGTATGATAGCCGGGTGGGCAGCGCGCACTGCGCAACTCCCCAGACACACGACGTCACGCACGCTACGGCACACACAACAAGACCAATCTCTTCTTTCGGGTGGTTAACATGGTTGAGCAACTAAGCAATACATACGAGTAGTCAGTTGGCTGATTTTTATATTAATAATTTTAGGTAAACGCCGAATATTTTTTTATTAAATTTGGATAACAGTAGGTAATATTATTCTTATCTTAGAAATTCTTTAGCGGCTGTCTCATTTATTAACATTGGTAACGGGTCTCTTCTGTTAAAGTAAGAAGAGGATTTAAAAGAGGATTTTTTTATATTATGCATGATTTTTGTCGCTATCTTTGAGCTGTTCACTTACTTATTATTGCCTCTGAACACACAGGTGGCAAATTTATATGAAATCTAAGTCGTTAGCTGAATGCAAATTAAAAATCTACCATTACTTTGGGAAAAATATTCAGTTTCCACTGTTTAAAAATTCCGGCGTTTGAACTTTACTTGTATAAGTAGGTAATGGATTATTGATGTGGGGTTACTTTTGAAATAAATTCCAATAGATTGGTATTAGAATTGCGACGTTTCACACTCTCGAATTGCAACACTAGCGACAGAATGGTTTCATATTGTTCTGATAGCATCTATCAGAACATATTAGTATAACTTGTCAATGCAAATGATTGCGAACGAATCCTAATTCTAACCTAATTCTTAATTGTTGTCACGAGTGCAGTAAAAAAATGTATTTGGCAATAGATTAAGTTGATATCGATATTAAATTCAAGAGTAGACCTTCAGGTCTGATAGTGATGATTGTGAAAACAATATTATTAATAAAATATTATGAAAAACGTTCAAGGATACAGAATTATCAACTATTTCAAAGACCTGTAAACATAATAATACCTTTCGTGTCTGTTACATTCTAGATATCTATAATAGGTAAGTAAAATACAGTTTAAAATTTCATATGTAAATCAATATGTTTTCGATTCTGAGACACCATTACTCTAAATATCTTTTAACCTAATATTTTTATTTTATTTGAGGGAAATTACTGTTTATGTACTAAATTTATAATATTTTTATTTAAATTTATTATAAATTTTGTTCATATTGGTCCTCAAAGATTTCGCTGTAATATCAAATGGAAATTTTATTCTTTAATATTTAGAGAAATCGGGCTCATAAATAAATATCCCACAATCCTTATTAAAAAATGGTAAAATGGGTTTGTTTAAATATTTGTTTGTTTATTACGTTTTGGTGCCGTAACCAATGGTTTATATATTCTATTCTATATATTATGGTAATCAATTGTTATGAAAATTGGTTTACACTTATTATTTACCAAAGAGAGGACAGGCTACTCATCCTGATCAATCGACATACCCAAGTCACTCGTATAAAATCGCAGCTTAAAATAATGATCTTGATCAACAGTCAACTGCAGCAATAATCTTCCAAAATAAATAGAACCCTGAGTTGTCTCATAGCACCCTATTCTTGGTCAAATTGCCTCGAATCGCGGGAGGAGCGATAGCTCAATATCGTCAGTTGAGTAAACTACTTGTATTTTCTGTTCGCCTAGTAAGCTGCGTACAGTGCGGCAGGTTGCGACCGCGCATCTAGATTACGGTAGCGGTGGCTGTTGCCGCAGTAGACACGTCATACGGGTGCCGCGTCGTGGGAGGGTCCCTTGGCAACGGCCCCTCTCGTCCTCGACATAATAGGTACCTACCTATAGATGGATTATCGTACGCAGATGTATGATAGTTACTAATTAGAGGCTCTGCGACCGCTGTGGGTTTGTAAAGGGCAAATTAAACTATTAAAATTTATTAAAATGTGTAGGTATAATTAATAAAGTCTTTTTATACATATTTAGTTTAACTATATTTTCATATGAAGTTTGATTTACGATCAAATAAATTGTTATCAAATTTTCTGTTGGCTATTAGTTGTTCAACTTAGTAATATTATTCGGTTTTATGCATAAAATGAAATTACGTGTTCTAAATTTTAGTATTTGCGGTATTTTCAGTTATGCGTGGGCTACGCATGACGTAACCAGTATTACGTCCTCACCTAGAACATCTACTGTGATAATGACGCACACGGGATATCTCGCAAGCGTCAGAACTTAAGGGTCACTTCATTTATGCATGCTGTTTTATTACGCCTTCATACATCCGGGAATCGTGCACGAAACTGAAATATTGTATGAAATAATGATGCGTGGAACATGTTCGCGGGTTTAATCCGCTTGCGTGATGAATTGGTTTATTAAAAACGAGTATTATTAAGTTAATATACAAGTGAAATCGGAATTGTTAACATTAATTTAATAGTGTATTCTAGTAATTGTAGAGTGTATTCTATTTGACCACAACAGAATATCAGTGTTTTGCTCTTTTGAGGGCAAAGCAATAAATTGAGCTGTGACCATTTTGTGTTATTGTGGCACATTCATGAAAAATTATGTAACCTCTTTTATGTGCTTTCTTATAGTTTTTTTTTTTGTATATGTTTTGTTTTATTTATTTTTTAAGTACGTACCAATATTTAATGTTATTTGTGTGCTGTAAGTGACGCAAATAAATTATGTATCTATGTATCTAACAATGAAATGAATTTATTTTTAAGAAAAGCGCAGATTGACAAATGACAGACATATTTAAACCTCCAATACTATACAGCGCATCCACTTATTTAGAGGTATGGTTAATATAATATCTATATTACCTATATCTCTAATATATGAATGAATGATTGAATGAGTATATTTTATTTGCATTATACAATATAGGAAATAAGCAAGACAATTTACAAACACAACAATACAACAACAATACAATTGTATAAGTACAGTAAGGCGGTCTTATTGCTAAGAGCAATCTTTTCAAGACAACTTTAAGGTAAAGGACTAATTGTTGTACAACTACATATATATTGTATCTATTTATTATGTAATATGTATATATTGGATTTCTCTGGATATTGATGGTGGAAAGAAGGTCATCACTCATTTCGTTATCACCCATATTAATCCGGTATTTATATTAATTTCGATTGATTTCTTTATATAATATTATGTAATGGGTACTTAACATATCTATTATTAGGCCTTTATTCACTTGTAAATAAAATATATAGATATTGCTATATATTACCTATTAAGTTTTTTGTTATGCAATTTAGAATAAAAAATAAGCTAACGGCCCACCTGATGGAACGTGGTAACTTTCGTCTATAGATATAAATAGTATATAAGTTAATATAAGAGGCTCAAAAATTTTCAATAAATTTCTGTTTCAATATGTTCTATGTTTAACGACTTAAATTTTACATTGTATAGCTAAAAAGTATTATTTTAGTTCTTTAATGTTAGAGTAGATAACCTCAATGGTAAAAATATTAATTCTTTTTATTATTGACAGTCTATTGAAGTTTGCTAGTCTACTAATAAAACTTGAAGACCGATGTCTTTTTCCTGTTGTACATTATTTTATTAAGCTTTCTCCAACATGGTAGCAGAGCGTAAAGTGAATATTTTAATTACATTTAATACGTCTAACGATACCTACGTCCAGTCGCAGTTAGTACAGAAACAGTTTCGGCTTAGGCAGTTACTAATACTAGATACTAACCTATGCGCTTAGTTTGAATACCTGAAATATCAGTCAAATCCGTTCTGCAGTTTAGGCGTGATTGAGTAACAAACATACAAACATTCAATCATCTATACAAGCTTTTATATATTTTTCGTAAGATAATCAGTTATCGTAGTTTTAAGTCAACGAAGTAATATTATTAATATTTGATGTTTAGCGTTTGTGCCTTATTTAGATACAACAGTTATTTTGTTCCGTGAATTAACTTCTCAAATCAACTTTCTACTATTTACCTGCGAGATCCATTATAAATAAAAGTGTATTAGTTGTTCAAATAACAATTTATTTATTTATTACTTTGTGGATAGAAAGCAGATTTAGTTAAACGTAGTCTTGCCCGCATGGCATCGGATTTATATGCTGAACAATAAACCTGATGTCATGTAGGCAGTAAATGTAGTATTTATACTATATTATATTATCCAATTGTTCTTTTATTTTTACCTATATAAATAAAATATAAATAGGCAACTTATATACATAGGAGATATATAACAAAAAAATATATGAACGGTCTTAATATCCGATCTGAGCAAAAGCCAAAACAATAATCTTTAGAAATTGGGACATGAAAAAACGTACGATGGAAGACCGCCAACCTCTGCGTTTTTCAATTCACTTTATTCCACGCACAACCACTCTTTGGAATCAACTTCCAGCAGCAGTATTTCCGAACCGATACGACATTATAACCTTCAAGAAAAGAGCATATTCCTTTTTAAAAGGCCGACAGCATACCTGCAATGCCTTTGGTGCTATAGGTGATTATTGGCAGCGGTAGTCACTTACCATCAGGTGAGCAGCATGCTCGTTTGCCCCCTGTGTTGTAAAAAAAAAAAGATTTTCTGTCGGTTTGATTAAGCGTCACGTAAAATATGGGACCTATATATTTTAGTTACAATGTCTATATATTTTTCATGTGATCTACAGTGGGAGGGTATTCAGAAAAGGGGTAAAAATGTTTCTTCAGATTCGGCAATACGCGCGTAATGCCTGCGAATCGTTTATAGGCTACGGTAATTGCTTACCATCAGGTGGGCCATATGTTTATCATCTCAGTGATATAAAAAATATATTGGCTGAATAACGAATATGTTAAATATCTGTTATCCATTATACAATATCGAAATTAAGAACCCAGTATCATGGGTATTATAGGTATCATATTACCAATGCCTAATAGTGTTGTAATAATAAAAAGGTCTAAATCGAAATGTTATTTGTTCATTAATAAAAAGTAATAAACATAATTACTATAATAAGTTGTTCACGATATCGATATATATACATTATATCGATATTTTATGTCCATGATGCTGCTCAGGTCTATGGGTGGTCTATATACCACTTTCCATCAGGTGGGCCGTCAGCTTGTTTGCCATTCTAAGTTGTATAAAAAAAAAGATATTGATATGTAATATTACTTAATTTTTGACCTGTTTATTATATTATTTAGGACTAGCTTTTTACCTGTTACTTTGCACGCGTGGATTTCAAAAGTAGAAAACTAATATAATATAAATAGAAATAGACTACATGTAGATAGCTTATCAAGATGAAACATACATCAGATTTTAAGTAAAATATCCAAAAACACAACTGTGAAAACCGCATCTAATTTATAATAGTTTTTACGTAAAGCCAGAACAAACATGTACACAGACAGAGAGATAAACTTTCTAAAAATTATTGTTACGGCATTTACTTGTTTTACTTCTACTTGAAATCTATGCGTACGAAATAGCGGGCAAAAAGCTAGTAATAAATATAAATAAAAAATCTAGGCAAAGCGTCGAAATAACAATAAGGTAAATAAGTACATACTTACCTAATTGATCGTATTAATTTCCGTTTCTTATGAACTACTAGGTATGTACCAAATTGTTCCCGAATGACTGCATTCAAGCAAGCAACACGAACGTTTTTAGAATGTTCGTAACATGTTTTTGGTATGTGCATTAAATAATAAATGGACAAGTAAAGGCAACGTTCGGTCTAACTCAACTTAATAAAGTAAATGATGTTAATTATGTTTTTTTTTTTAATTTTCAATTGACTTCTTAAAGAAGGAGGTACTCAATTCGGTTGTATTTTTTTATGTTTGTCCCTTCATAACTCCGTCAGTTGTAAACCGATTTAGAAAATTCTTTTTTTATCTATTACTTTTATACTCACAGATTAGTTCCATAGAATTTTTATCAAAATCGGTTCAGTAATTTAGTTTTTAAATCAAAATAACTGGTTATGTCAACAATTGAAGTCGGGTTTTTTGGGATAGAATCTTTAATTATTACTCCAATGTATGCTGTTTCATTATACCCATTGCAAGACAAGACCCGTTAGATAGAATCTTAACAGTAATGTATCATCAGCTAATTGGAATTATTCCGTAGACACTCCAAATTAAGGCCGCCTTTGTCGAAACACTGCGCATATTTAGATAGATTTTGTATTGAAACGCTTAAACTTTTCTAAATATTGTCCTACTTATTTTTTTCTTATTATGTTAAAAAAAATATTATATTTAAATGAGAAAAGGTGAAAATTGAATTTTTTATGGGAAAAAATCTTCTTCACTCCAGTTTAAGACCGCCTTTCGGCCCATAGAGAGTACTCGAGTACAAAGACCCAGCTCGATTGAGGGGTAAGCAGTGCGGCAACATCGCACAACCGCTATTGATCTGTCGCATACCTCCTACAGCGCTTTCATCGCTTAAAACTGGGCTTTGGTAAGGCGATATCTTTGTATCCAGCGATTGAAACGCTTCAGTAACAAATTTAATCTGACGCACACATCCGTCGTTGTTGAAATGTGGACTCGAGCGGATACATCGCTGTAATTTTAGTTGCCCTTTTTCAATTCGTTTCAATGAAGCTAGTAAAGCGCTAGTAGATTGAATAATATTTAGGTCGGTAATGAATTAATAATAATATTTAATAAACAAACAATTTTACACTTATAGAGAATGTTCATACAAAGTTTCATTATCATTTGGGTATTTAAGAATATTTTTAAGGGGCATCCGATCCTTATTAAAGGCGCAATTGTATTATAATATATTAAACATTTTACAAATACTCAAAGCTGAGTTCTCTTGAATACGGGGTGGGCACCAGGAAACTTTGGTGTGGGCACGGCCCATCCGGCTCCCTTTAAATACTTCTATGAACATAACATTGTCATTCATCATTTTAGCCGTTATCTGTTCATTGCTGAACATAGGCCTCTCCCATCGATTGTCATAAAGAGATGGAGCGTTCCTTATGATAATTTGCCATTGGTGGGATTTTGCCAGTAGTTGCCAAGCTTAAATTGGCAACTGCAGTTTGGTTTATGATGATGTTTTAAGAGAGATGCTGTTGCCCATCCCTCGATTATTAAGTTGATGAACATAACACGTAAACATCTATTTTTTTAATGGATAATAATGGAATGCTAACTCCACTTGTGCTATCGGTATACACTGGCGAAGCAGCAGTGAGAGATGATAGATGAGGTTGAAAGCTAGTCAGCCTATTGCGACGAATTGCACAAGTATTTATTACGATGATTACCAGGCGGAATCGCGTGGATGTCGATCTAATATACCTATACATGCTATACATGCTAGCAATGTGTTAGACCCCATTCCTAACAATTATTTTTCTCCCAACTAAAGGTGTTAGGTACTTAATAGTTGCCGAAATAGTCTCCCCTCAAAATTGTGCTGCAGCCGAGAAGCTAAAGCGCTGATTTTCAGAGGGAACCCTTCAGTTCGAAATTAATTTTATTTAAATTAATGTGGAAGTATTCATCATTATCATATTAGCCGTTAACTGTCCACTGTTTAACATAGGCCTCCCTTTAATGAAGGTGGGGGGGTTCTAGTAGTGGCTTCGGTGATGTTTTAAGAGGTATACTTATATAGTATTGAATATGTCAGGGGTGTCCATGTCTAGAAATCTTTCCGATTCTAGAATAATAGCATACGGGTATGAGACCCCGGCTTCCCGAGCTGCTGCAGTGTCACAGTCCTTTCCGCAACTGCAGTATTCCCCCCTTTCGTTTTCCGCATAAGTCCCTTCTTCCTCCTATTTATCAATTTCCTTTACGCATTTCCAACATTCCCTTTTTTTTCCTCAATTCTTTCCTCCATACCGTAAGAGGCGGAAACCACCAACAAATGCATTCCCAAAGAGGGTTGATATCAGGCATGCGGCCGGTTATAAAACTATAAGCTAAATCTTTTTGTAATATGGATAAAAAATCATATTACGCTGGCCCTCAATAATATTTGGGATAAGGGAAGGAAGATGATGATGACTTATATAGAATACAGCGTGATTATTTACTACCTATTCACAATTTCATTAAACACGTAACAATCTGAATTGCAGAACATGTTCTAGTTACAACAATACATGTGTATATATGTATGTGTGTCGTCTCTTTAGTAGCCGAAAAATACAATGTTTGTCAATGTATTAATAATTAGGAATAATATATATTAAACATAGTTATTATATATAACATAGACTCTTACAATTAAACTTGTGTGGAAGCTTCAAGTTGCGGCAAACAGCGATGGAATGAACTATGTTAGGTATTTTGCTCATTGATCACATTCTAAACATAAAAATCCCAAAGCACACTGGTTTCAAAGATAGTAGCTAGACTTAGTAGTTTCCAGGTTAAAGTGGAGATGGGCAGGCCACATGAGCAGATGTGAGGATGGACGTTAGAACCGTAAAATCGTAGAGTGGAGATCAAGAATTATCCGGAGAAACATGGAAGACATACCATGCGCTGGGCAGATAATTATGTAAGAAGAAGGGTAGGGAAGATTTGGATGCGCATGGCGAAGATTCGGATTATCTGGCATCATAAAGAGGCCTATACCTACCCAACAATAGGTAAACCCGGGCTGGAATAGAAATAGATTTAACATAGTTACTTAGATAAACTTTATGTACATATAAAAAAAATTACTAGATTTTGTCTGTATTGTAATTGGATGAATATCATAATATTTGATTTTTATTCCACATGTACTTAAGTGATATATTATTCAGATAGTCAAAGAAAAATGGCATAGAAATTGGACTAATATACTCGTATCAACAGTAACTGGTACTGGTACTATATGTATATATATTATTTCAATATTTTAATTCAACAACGAGACCTCGTATGAAGAAATAAATTGTTACTGGCACGTTTGATTTCATCATTCCAAATTCAAAATTGAAAACGATTTAGTACTCACACCTAATTTTCTGGATTTTTCTATATATAGTAAGTAATAACAAGGTTTATCCAAATGTATTGAAGACGATAATGGTTTCGCTGTTTAATGAAAATTTTGTTTACATTAATTTAATATCGACATTTAACTCATACGGGAATAAACTATTAAGGTAATAGAACTAATAGACATGAGGCTAAGGAGTAAGAGCCGTGCAGTTGAGAGAAGTAAGTAAAGTTTTGGACAAAAACGTGTTTTTCCGATTATGATCTTACTATCCGGTAGGTAAGATGTATGTTAATACGTAGATATAGGTGTATTAGCAGAGCTGAAGTATCTTGAAATTAATCGTATATTTATCGAAAGAAAAGATTTATTTTGTATATTTTATAAATTGCGGAAAAACAACAAAAAAAGTGCATTTTTTACAGTGTAACACCATGTCATTATCATGTCATAGACGACAAGTCGACGAGGACAGATTCCGTAAGCTACCAATTCATTGAAGCTGTTATTTTTAATTAATTGGCGGAATAAGAAGAAAGAAAAAAGTATTCAAAGGTTAGGATGCAGTTAGAATTTAGCGTTAATTAACTGTATGCATAATATATTTATTGTTCTTAAAAATATAACACAGAAGGTAAATGAGTATGCGGCTTAATTACTTGATGGTAAATGACTAATGTGTGGTCTCGGAATAGAGTATGTCCTTCCTTTCGCGTGGGTGTCGTAAGCCTAAGGGAAGGCGAGGCATGGGCAGCAGCATCCCTCCTAAAACATCTCTAAATCTTAACTGCGGTTGCCATTCCGCTTGCCGAGCGTAGCAACTACTGGCAAAACCTTCCTAAGGGGAGGCTTATATTCTGCAGTGGACAGTTAAAGGCTGATGTGATGATGAAGTGACTACCGCTGCCTATAAGCACATGTATTACAGGTGTTTTGCCGACCTTTATTATTATTTACTGATACGAGATCAAAATGACAACAACCGCAAAACAAAAAAAAATATTTATTATTCATATGGACTGATTTAGATATCCTTATGTAAAAGCAATTCTAGATATGTAAGGTGTATATAGCATGGAGGTGACATAACGCCATATGAAGAGTATGGTATTTATTTATTTATTTAAGGAACACCAACAGCATATTGCATTATAACATATAGGTATAACAAACATTAAATATAATACAATATTTATGCACATGCCTATTATAGGTATTCACAGCATTTACTTTAACGTAGTTATACAGTGCGAGAAAATGCAGTAACAATTATAATGAATTAAATAACACTAGATTACAAATTATATTTATGTAGGTTTATATTTATATGTAGTATGTATTAATATTGTATCTTTCAAATTATCTGTTATAGATAAGTTCGCCTTTGCTAACATTGTTATTAACTTATTGTTGTTAATGTATGTTTTAGTGCAATAAAGAATATATACACGTATATATAAATGATTGTTTTGCAATTAAATATATTACATAGGTGGGTAAATTGTGACTTGTTTTTAGTTGGTATTTAAGTAACTATTTAAAGAAGTAATTATATAAGTTCCTAATTATGCAAGTGGGTACGCTATTACTTAATATTCGTAAGGAATTATGAGATTGTGTAGGATGTATTTAGTTGTGGTTTGTAGTAATTATGTATTTAGGAAGGAACAAAGGAATGGTACTTATCTTTTCGTTGAACTATACTGCGGTGTGAAACTTTAGCTGCCTCACTGCCCGGTATTATTTGTATTAAACTTCCATTTGAACTTTACTTGATAGATCTTGAACTTGTCTTG